TGGAGCACCACAGCATCCACAGCTGACAGCAGGAGACACCCGTGCTCCCACAAGAGCTGCTCAGACCCCACAAGCTGGCAGGTAATTGCTCCTGGCCCTGAGAGTGTTCTGGAAAGGCTCCTTCAGTGTGTTGCACTGGCTGACTGCAGTGTCATGCTCAATCCTGCGAGGGCCGGAGAGCAGTGCAGGCTGACTCCGAACACTTCAGTGCTCCTGCTGGCATGCTTCAATTCATCTCTGCATAAAGCACTTGCTATTTTTCTCTTTCCTCTTCAGAATTACTAGCATTACTCCACAGTGCCAATACTAAGTTTCTCCTGTTTCTGTGCTGGAATACCGCATGTAAGGGTGGAGGAGATGTTTCTGTAAGACCCCTCCCTCTCTAAACCTGTAAACAGTTGAAGGACTCAAGGGTTTCTGCAAGGCAGGGTGCATTGCTGTGCTCCTCACACTGCCCTCCTGTCCTTTCTTCCTTTAAAAATCAGAAAGAGACGCAGTTCTGCCCTGCCAAAACCTGTGCTAAGGCACAGCTGAAATGCAGAGGGCTGGAAATACAAAAGTTACTGCTGCCGCTTGCCTTGTACCTTGCAAGACTTGATCATACAGTGCATGCCTGGCTGGTGAGGTAACTTTGCTGTGAGGTAACTTCCTGCAGTTGGTGCAGTCAGCTCATCTCGACAGCTGCATCAACATCATCTGTTGCATTTAATACAACGTTAGCTGGGTTTTTTTCCCCTTCAATAAAGCCCAGACATATCCTCTCCAGGCTGCTGCTGGTTGATTAACTGCAAAGGAAAAATAGACTTGGCCTGGCTAACACTGCCCCACAAAGAATGCTTGGAGAGGGAGGAGGCAGTGACACATTCCCTGACAGGATCCTGCCTCCTTTAGCATTAACACCACGCCAGTGGTGTGTCAAGCTGTGTAGGATGCCAACAGAAACACAAGCATTCAATTAAAAAAAAATCCCCCTGGCATTAATGTTACATCAACCCCAGCAGAACACAGGGACCTATTCTCCTCCTACCCCTCCAGGGAGGAGGAGCAAATTCTGCCTTCCATGGGCATGTCTACACGGGATGCTTACTGCGCATTAGCCCAATAATACTGTGCAGTAGCATGGCAGTTAAAAACCATGCTGATAGCCTACTGCGCAGTGTTATTAGGCTAATGCGCATTAAGCGTCACAAAATAACCATGCACCAGTGCTACTGTCCAGTAACTCTAGTTATTGTGCAGTAACTCTAGTTATTGCACGTTGAGTTAGTACTTCATTAAACAAGTACGAAACTAAATGCACAGTAATTAAGGTGTGTTAATGAATGTGTAGACATGCCCTGTGTCAGCAAAACCCAGCGCTACATTCTTGCCACAAAGGCCCAATTTCCAGAAGGGCTGAACACCTCCAACCAGCACCTGCTCAAGGAAATGAGCAGTGCAGACGCTAAGCTCCTTTAGAAAATTCAGGCCATTGCACGTGTACCTTCTCCACACGTGTGCCATGATTGAGTTACTTTTTGTAACAGGCTGCAGATAAGCCTGAGTTTGCCACTGCGTTACAGAGCCCTAGCCTGATCAGCTGCTACCACCACCACCACCAATAATAATAATAACAATCACCATTATTATTATTATTATTGTAGACATTTATTCTAACCAGATGTTAAAATGTAAACAGCATGGGGGGTGGAAGCTTGGTGGTTTGCCAGAGCTTACAAAAAGCCCACAAGATTTCTTGTGGTGAAATCACCACTCTCCGAGAAACCTGCATATGCTGGGGGAAGCAGCAGTGAAAAAATAACCCCTTAAGGGCATTGATGCAGGAGGCAGGATGAGCAGCATGCTCCACTCACTGTTTAGGTTGGGTCCCAGCCAGGGAGACAGAGGGAAAAGTTGCACATGCAGACACAACAAAACTCTTCACACACCACTAAGTTTGGCCAAGGTGGTTCTCATTGCTTATGTCTTGCTGGCTGCTTAGGAAAACAAACCAAAGCAGGTGCTAGCAGGGATGGAATATCTCCACAGCCGTCCGAAGGGTTTTTGTTTGAGAGAGATTTTCGAGGAGTAAGGAGGCAGGAGAAAAAATCAGGTAGCATATGGTGATTTAATCACACCAAGGAGCATCTTCAATTTTAGACTGCAATGGGGTGGTGGGGCTGAGACCCAAGTTGAGGTATGGAGCCTCTCACTTAGTTCCAGCACAGGCCTGGAACCAAAGTATCCCACTGTTACTCCCCATGGGTCAGATGGGAGCAGCGGTCCTCAGGCCAGTCTCATACAGTGAGTGGGATGCTGACACACTGGCCTCTCTAGAGGCCAAAGTCCCAGCAGGTGATGAGATGTCCCCTGAGCAGAGTTCCCCCCTATCACCACTCCTTTCCTCCCCACATTAGGGCTCTGGCACATCAGAAAGGGATGGTGCGTGGGGAAGCACTTGTTATTGGAACCCAATACTTTACATAACGGAGGCAGCCAGGCAGTTTGTAGGCTCTCTTCTGGCATAGCAAAACTAATCCAGTTTAGCTGTGCCTGTGTCCATAATCGAACCCCAAACATTACTATACCACAGCTTGATTTTCACACCTGCATGAGACAGCCTCCCCACTGCCTGACTCATGTCAGAAATTGCTGCTGCCAGACTGAAAGACCCAAGTGGGAAGCTTGGCATTTTCCACAGCAACCATCTCCTCCTCTCAGGTGGGATCCCTCCCTTTTGATGACTCAGACTGCAAGTTGCCTCCTTAATAACGGAGTCCCCTGTGACAAGTGTCTAAACAACACCCCACGCCCTTGCTTTGGAGAAACTACCCAGTGGTTTCAGGAGACAAGTCTCATCTTGTTGCTGTTCCCACTGTTACCACAGGGCCATGTTTGTGTTGTGGATCTGCCTGTGCTACTGGCCTTGCATATGGTGTCAAACACCAGGTAATTATTTCCACACCCTCTTGCAAAAGGCCACACCATACTCCCTGCTCTCTCGTGCCTTGTAGGTGGTCACTTCTGAGTGGTGCTACCAACAAGGCCAGCAGTGAGGCTTCCTGTCAAAATCCAGCATCCACAACCTCATACCCCTCACCAACGTGTCTCTGCAGTTCAGCTTTGGGACAGGCCACTTCCAAGAGCAAATACATAGGATGGCCTCCAGAGATTAACCTCCAAATCAGATTAATTAGGAACAAGTCTGAAAGCAACACCCTTCTCCCAGGCCAGCCTTGGGCTGAAAAGCCCCCAGCCACAAGCTACAGTTCCTACTCTTGAGCCCCATGTGAACCTGCCATCTGGAAGTGTGAGGCTCTGTATCCTACTCCTTTGCCATCAGCACCCAACTCCTTTCCCCACCCCTCCAGTGTTATCAGCCAGTCATTCTGAGAGAAATTATTAAAAGCCACCACTTTGTTTACCTCGGCTCTTTGAAACACAGGTCTAATAGCAAAAGGCTTTTAAATGTTTTAGGTAAATGTTTACAAGACTCCAAAAAGAGAGGAAATAAAACCCACTGTTCTGTTGTTTAGCAGAGCATGACAGTCACATGATATCCAGCATGGGGGAGAGAAAGGAGTCTTAAGTTTTCGTGCCTGTAATCAAAACGCAATTAAGAGCTCTTCCAGCAAGATCTGTGGGAAGTGATGCTTCTCCTCTCCATTTCTCCCCGCCTAAAAAACTTCTTTCAGTAGCTTTTTCAGAGGGAGGTCCACTGTATCATTAACTGGGAAACCCCCCCAACCTTGTGTCATGTAGAAGGAAAGGATGATATTCCTTTGGTTCGAGTAACCTGGGCAGCTTTTTCTAGCTTTAATATCTACCTGACACATTTTGAGGGGAGAGGAAGGGGAAGTATCTCTTCATCGCTAAGGAACTCAAACTGCTACCCCCACTTAGCAGTGATCATTTGAACCCATCTCTCTTGTGTAGAAAGAACTAACAGCAGCACCACATTACAATTTCAGTTGGATTCACTGTAAGGGTAGGGTTGAGGGAAGAAAAACATGATGATCTCCCCCAGGAAAGCAGATGTGGACTGCCATAAATACAATATGAATTTGAACAGACTAGAGACTTTTAAGCTGCATTCGTTTTTAGAGCTTCTACTACAGTGACCCTCTACCTGCAGCTCAAGTGACAAGAAATTTCTCTTTCCAGATACCAGTGTCTTCAGTTTGACAGGGAGAACAAAGCATGGCATTGCCCTTAGCTGCTTAGCACGTGACTTTTTCTTCTTAGTGCCCCACAACCTTTGTCAGCCCATGAACAATATTATCAAGCAACTCTGGGTGCTATCCCACTTACTTCTCTACTGAAAAAAACAAACAAACCCCTATCTATCAACACAGTTGCACATCACTACCAAGTCCTTTGCTGGAGGTATCCCATCCAAATAGCGCTGGGCCTTGAAGCCACGTAAGATCCCAGCTCAAGGCAACAAGGCTGCAGCCACTTTACTTACTTTTGGGCATGATTTGGCAAATAGTTTGGCTATTTCTGAAACATCAAGGCTGACACAGCATGACATTCCTCCTGTTGAAGCAAGGGTCTGGGCTATGGAAAATGAGGGGCAGCAAAGAGCTCAGTTACACCCTGCTCCTCTGAGGTGAGAGAAGCAGGTCCTTTCATTGCTAACTCTTATGGCAGGAATAAGGATTAGGAAGGCAGTTACCCTTGGCATACCGCACACTCATGGCCATTAATACAATTTCAGCAAGGTCCTGTGCAATACCTACTGCTGGGGGTGGAGAAGAGTGGATGCTGAACTATTGGCCAGTAGTCTCCATAGAAGAGGAGGTATCAGACCAAGCCAACCAGCTCTTTTATCCAATATGGTAACATGGGAGGGAGTGGCGAGTAAGACACTGGCAGAGATGGACCACAAGTCTATCTAGGAGGATGTCAATACTGTTAGGAGCCCAGTGTCGGGATCCAGAAGTAGCACAGGTGTTCAATCCCTGTCCTTACATATCCCCTCTCCCACTGAGTACCGAACACAACACAAGACAAGAAGCTATTATATCATGCTTTTAATACAAACTTAAAAAAATCTGGAACAATAGAAACTGTACAGATTTGATCAACCTTTTTTGTTTTGTTTTTAACTAAATCTCTAGACACGCCAATGTCCCATTCCAAAATATTGCACAACGTTCTGAATACAAAACTCTGATTGTATTCCTCCTTCGCTAAAGAAAAAAACAGCAGCCCCCTGATCCCCCTTCTCAGTAGGCCCCTTCTCATAAAGGAACAAAAAACAGAATAGAGGAACCCTCTCCATCAAGGAATGGCCGAAATTCTCTCCTCTTTGAGTTCACTCATTTTCTTTTCATGCAATCACATAGTTGTTGTTTTGCTCTTCAGAAGGGGTTGGGAAGGGAAGGAGGGAGATGAGGGGGGAGAAAGGAATTTTCACTGCTTCTTTTTTAAAGTTTTTTTTCCTGAAAAAATATTTTTTTTCTCTCCTCTTTTTAAGAAAAAATCTTGAAAAGAAAAATTACATTTTTTTACGTTAGAAATATACATATATTATATATACCTCTTACATTTTACAAATGTAGCAAATTATTCAATACAAACGGACATCAACAAAAAGAACACAAACCCATAAAAAATAAAAGTTAAAAAAAAAACTCTCTCTCTCTTCCTAAGAAACCAGGTAAATTAGTGCAGAGTTTAAAAAATAAAATTGAAGCCGAACGCCTAATCCAAGACTAGAAAAAGACCCAAAATGGTCATTTGTTCCGTTGCTGCCAGTGCTGGAGAAACGCTTCTGAAGCACATTTTTTTTCCTTTAAGTTACAAAGAGGTTGGTCCCTCCCCTTCTCTTCCCCGTGTTTGCGCTATTTTTAAAGCAATTACAGTACATAAAGCAGGGCAAAGCAGCAAAGCTTCACGCACACAGCGGGTGGCTAGCAACGTTCCATCTCCCCCCTCCTTTCCTACACTAAGGCATGCAATCCCACCCAGGCAGTGGCTCATGGCAGCATTTTGCTGGGGGTAGATGATGGTGGTGGACTCAACAAAGGAGATTTTACTGAACCAGGAAGCCAGCAGGTCCCCTGTGTCAGGGAGAAAGCATTTAGTCCAGTGCAACAGGTTGGCAGTCCACGATTTGCTCATAAGGGAGGAACTGAATGGCAGTGGAAATGTTGGTAGGAAAAGGATCAGCTAAACAGGTCCCAAGTGTCCTGTTCTTGCTTTGCATCTTCAACCCTTGAGGTTTCATGCGTTGTGCTGGGACAGACTGCTTGGGGACAGCTGCCCTTGGCTCCTCCCTCCTTACCTGCCCACCCACCAATGTGGGTCATCACTAACTGTCAGCAAACAGCCTGCTTTGGAAGCGGGTTCTAGGATTTACAAGAGTACCCTTTCCAGTAATCCAACAGGGGAGTGGGGGTTAACATTTAGAGACAAACTCCTGAAGGAGACCAGGGTGGTGTCCCACTTGGCAGGACAGGGTAAAACACCAGTCAAGACTCATTCATGACATGAGAGCTGAGGCACTCTCAGCTTTGCTTGGGAGAGGGCTTTGGGAGGCACTGGGGAATGAAAGGGAGTTAAAAAACTCTTTTTGTGGCTTCTCTGATTATCAGCAAGAAGAGTAAACTGGATCTTTAAGATGAGCAACTCAAAAACCAGATCTCAGGAGCTCCAGAGATGGATTTAAAAACTAAAAGGTGGGAGGCAGCAGAACAAGTTTAAAAAAAAAAAAAAAAAAAGGAAGGGAGAGGGGACAGGGTTGGAGGGGAGTCCAAAGCCAGCAGTATGAGCAGCTTCAAATCTCTTCCCCTTTTTTTTTCTAGCCTCCACACTGATCTCTGGGGAAGAAGGTCTTCCCTCTTTGTAAGTCCCCAACCCCAGACAGCCCTTGTACCCCTGGAATCTGCCCTGAAACACATAGCTGTGCTTTATCTGGGGAGATGGGTCTCCGCACACCATGGGAGCAGGCTCTGGAATCCCAGATGCCAAAATGGACAACTGCTGGCCATTACTTTATTACCCCTCACTCTAGCACTTCATATGTGGAGAGAAGTACAGGGTGGCCAGCCCTAAGATTCTTAGCTCTGTCCCTCACAATGAAGAAAAGGAGGCTTACTCTAAAAAAACATGTCCTGGGGTAAGTGCCTTTAGTCACAGGAGTGCTAGTCTGCACTGCAGTGAACGAGCCTCTCTGCCCCGTGCATCTCTGGAACGATCAGGTCACACTGGGCACTGTGCCAGATCACTTGCCCCCTCTTAACTTTTCCAAAGGAAAGCAGAGGGGGAATTGGTTAGGTTTTTTTAAAAACTAAAAGTGCAGGCTTTCAGGCTAGCAGATCAGGATGCTGCTTGGGCTACGTGGCTCTCACTGCTCTCAGAAAGTGGTGCTGCCTCCTCAATAAAAAGTCTTCCTCCCTACAAGATCCAGAAGCAATGTCAACTTGCAGCTATGAATAAGTGTTCAGAAGCCAGGACCTGTTTGGAGACCACTCCAAACTAACATCTGTGGATGCTGCTCTAATTGGTAGGAAAGAGCTTGTCACAGTGGGAGATGCAGCACATACAACCCTGTCTGCAGAAGCAGAAGTCCAATACAGGCAGACCAATAGCTCTTTCCATATGGCAGCAGTGGGTGCAGCTAGCATAGTGTTTACATAACAGGGCTGTCTGAACTGACACTGGCTCTGACCAAGCTGGAGAGGCACCTCAAGCAGGACCCTTTAGGCCTGGGGAAGGGGGGGAATCAGAAATGAAGTCTCTGGGCTTACAAAGTGCTGGGGGTTTTTTCTGCAGCTTTCACAGGAGACAAAGTGCAGGCAGGGAAGACAGCAGAATGCAGCTACCTTGTAGTAATGCCCTGCCCTCCTCCTCATTTGCCGAGATGGGAAAGGGAAAATGGCTGGGGGAATCTCTTTTCAAATGGCAATGGCACTGCTGATGCCAACCTGTTTTGAAGGGCTTTGCGCAATAGTGGCATGGCAGTCTAAACCCTAGGGGCTGAAGGGAGACTGGGTTCACTGACCTTAGCTGTTCACAGGGATGCAGCTATAATCACATAGACAAGCAAGCCCTAACTATGCACATTTGAGCAGCACACAATGAAACTGCACAAAAAAGGAACCCATCCTCTCCTCCTCACTTGCCCCCAACAAGGTGGCCTGCTGCCCAGTGGACAAAAGAATGCCCAGGACAAAGCCATCTTTACATCGGGGTCCAAGGAGGTTCTTGGTGAGAACAAAGGTCACTTTATCCTCCCATCTCTGGGCCAAAACCCCCCAAAACCTCATTGAAGTAAAAGGGGTAGGAAAACACATGGGAATCAAGTTTAAAAAAAATAATAATAAAAAAAATAAAATAAAATAAAAAAAATAAATCAAAAAAAAAAAAATCAAAAATCAGTGCTTCAGGAGCGCTGCCCCACACAGCCCAACGACTCCAAGGTTCTCTCTCTTTCCAAGAAGCTGTATTTATAAGATTTCAAATATGGTTTGTATATTTCTATTTTTCCATGTTTCTCTTCTTTTTTCTTTTCACTTTTTTTTGTTTTAATTCTTGTTTTCTCAAATACTCTCCTTCTTCATGTTCAGTTGGCCAGGACCACAGGCTGGAACGACTGGCTGGGATACTGCATGGCATTCAGGTTGTAGCTGAGTCCTTCCACGAAGGGCGACTTCTCCAGGAAGAGGCTGTTGGTGCTGCCACCAAAGACCTGAGGCATGTCAAAGCTGCTGCTGCCGCTGGTGCTGGCACTGAACTGGGATGCTTGGTTTTCACTGGCGACGCCGTCAAAGAAAAGGCTGCTGGCTCCAGGGGACCCGCCGCTGTAAACGAACTCCTTGGCATTGGGGGAGAGCTGCGACTGGGATGCTTGACTCCCGCTGCTCCCGACGAAGTTCAGAGAATGCATAGAAAGGGAGAGGCCCTTGTGCTTCAGCAGGTTGTTGGTGGGTGACCTGGCCATCCTTTGCTGCTGTTGAGCTCCTGCTCCCCCTCCACCTCCCCCAGCTCCTCCACCCTTCTTCATCTTGGTAGAGCCAAACTTTGTGGCAGCGAAGGTGGCAGTGGTGAAGATGATGGGCTGGGCAGAGCGGGGGATGAAGGTAGGGCTGGGCGACTGGCCAAAGGACGGGGAAGGAGAGTTGGACAGGGAGTTATCCTGGCTACCAATGGGAACAAACACCTGGGCATCTGGGTTGAAGCTGCTCTTGATTTCTTTGTCCAGCTCAGCTGCGCTGCAGCCCTCACTGTCATCCAGATACAGGACCTTGACAGACCCCTTCTCACCAATCTGGTAAGAAACCTCAAAAGGGTCAATCCAGACACTCAGTTCTTCAGGCACATTGGCCCGCACATCCTCCACAGCCAGTCCGCTCCTCTTGGCTGCCAGCTCCACCACTGGGTCAACTGTCTCCCCAATGTGGACACAGCGGTAGCCAGAACCCTTCAACGGCTTTTCTGGGTACCAGTGGCCCTCATATTTCTTTTTCAGCAGGCGCTCTAGTTCTTCACCAAACAGGTCTGCCCGCCTCCGGGGAAGCTTGTTGTACAGGTATGAGATGATGAAGTTCAGAGCAACTTTGATCTCCAGATGCATACTCCCTTCACAGCAAGCAAGTTAGGGCAGTGTATTAAAAGATACAAGTGACACGCACACAGACAAGATTAGGATCCCAACAATCCTAGGAGAGAAGAGAAAGAAGGATGATTATCAGGAAGAGAACATGACAACTTGAATATTCTTGAGGTAAACAGCTTAGTGAGTTTTATTAAAGGATTAGACATGTACACAGACAACATATGAAGTGACCCTGTGTAGATTAAAAGTTGCACAAAGGCTGTCAGGTCTCATGCTACGTGGCACAAAGAAATTGCTCAACAGGATCAGGAAAAAACTTGGCCCAACCAAATGGACAGAGAGCATGCCTAGCTATACCGAATGGAGGCATGTGCACATGACACCTTCCGCTCGAGTTAACAGTGACCAGCAGTGGACCCCAGATATGAGGGAGCATGGACCAACTGCCTGCCCTGGTAGAGTGGCTCGTACACATTAAGTACACCTCAATATGCTTCTGATCTCATTTGTGTCTTTTCAGCTTCTATACCCCAACCCTCAGGGGAGGGAGGAGAATAAAAATAAAAAGTTTATTTTGGGCAGTCTAGTCTTTCAACCTTGAGTAGAGATCCACCCCCAAGCTCTGCATGGCTATGGTAGCCTCCCTTCTGAGAGCAGCCATTTGACTCCTTTCGGTGGTGCTGAAGTAAAAGGGGATCTATATTCACCATCTGCACTGAAGCAAGGATGATTGGGGGGGG